ATATATATAGGGTAAATTAGCCTTTCTTACTCTCAACAGCACACCCACGTCTAAATAGATAACAAAAAATGTCAAGGCTGTATTGTTGTTCTTAAATTATGTACATTATCTGATGTATGTAGGCAGCAAAGACCATGGATCAAATAACATACACCGCTTCATGGATGGCCCATCAAAAATGGGGCCCTGCACGATTATATTAAACGAGGCTCACATATAATATAACATAATTATTAAAATATTAATATTATGTATCTAAAAATAATTTTTTGTTATTTTTTAGATACAAAAATGCAAATTCAGTTTTTTACATTGAATTTGTATAACATAATATAATTAAATATGCTATCAATTAAAAATATAGAGAAAGATGACTAAAATTTGTTAATGTAGCAAATTTTTTTTTCAAATAATTAATGTTAGTAGGATTTCAAATATTAAGTTACTCCTACTCACTATGTTTTTTAGCTAGTTTGTGTGTGTTTATTATGTATCTTTTTTACAGATGATGAAGATGACGGGAAGTCTTCTCTGTGTATACAGTGAATGGGTTTTGTCTGATGAAGAAGGGTAAAATAGTCGATTTTCAAAAAATGACATCTTCCCTCCATTTTTCAATCTATTTTCCACCTAAAAATGGGGGGAAAAAATTTGGTGGGCGCTAGGGATTCTCTTTCCCTTCCATTTTCCATTCTGTCCCATTTTCCTTCCAAACCAAACAATAGAAAGTGAAGCCTTCCCTCCCACTTTCCTTCCTCCATTTTTCATCCTCCTTATTTTCCAACCAAACAGGGGGTAAAAAAGAAAAAAAAACATCGAAATCGGTTCGATATGGTTCAATCTTCTTCAGAATCCCCAAATTCTCAGTAAAAAAGAAAAAAACAAAAACAAAACAGAAAGGAAGAAGAAAACATGATATCCACATAAATCTTTAGTTCTACTGTGCATAAAAAACAAAAAATACCAAGAATAATTAGAAAAAAAATCAAAAATCATAGCCTTCTCAGATGTAGACGAAGCAATTCACAAGGCACGCCAAAGAAGTCTTCTTCCACTGCACAATCGGGTAACCCACAGTAAAGGATGAGAGCCATCGATCGTAGACTTCTCAGAAGTAGATGAAGCGATATAGATGAAGCCTCTCTCTCCGATGATCTTTTTCCATTCGTCCATCTCTCTCTCTCTCTCTCTCTCTTCTTGATGTAGGCAAAGCATCTTATTGATGATGAAGACGACGTGAAGTCTTCTGTGTGTATACAGTGAATTGGTTTTGTCTGATGAAGAAGAGTAAAATAGTCAATTCCCAAAAAATGCCATCTTCCCTCCATTTTTCAGTCCATTTTTCACCCAAAAATTTGGGGGGGGGGGGGAGTTTGGTGGGCGCCAGGGATTCTCTTTTCCTTCCATTTTCCATTCCCTCCCATTTTCCTTCCAAACCAAACAATAGAAAGTGAAGCCTCCGCTCCCACTTTCCTTCCTCCATTTTTCATCCTCCCTATTTTTCCTCCAACTAAACAGGGGGTTAACAAAATTAACAGAGGAGGTTGTACTTTTACTTTTTTGCCCATACAAGTTTCATTTATCTACTAAAATAAAAAAATAAATATGTAGTAATATATATAATCATAAGAAAGAAAGATGTTACCCATCCTTTATCGCTCCTTACCCCCACCACCCACCTCAGTCATTGCCTCCCCTAACCACCCACATTTTCCCCATGATCATCGACCCACCTTCATTTCCAACCTTGTGGCTACCCCACCCACCTATTCAACAATCCACACCTAGCCTTATCCACAACCATCCATGGGTGATCTTGGAAAAACAACTGAGAAATGTAGTAGAAGGAAGAAGAGAAGAAAAGGAGCGGGGGAGAGAGATGACTTATTTCATTCAACTAAATTTCTCAATTATAAGGTGTGANTCTGAATTTTAATAGATACTATTTGCTAACTTGTTTATTTGTTATTGAACTATTATAACATATAATAATATTAGCATAATTTAACAATTACGATCAATATTTGTTCTATCGTGTATAAATCTCCATATATTGGAGTTTGTGTTGCGTAATTGAATTGTATCAAGTCAAATTGGTTAACATAATTATAAGGGTAAAATATATTTTTAGTTTTCAAAATATACGAATAGTGTGTATTAAATTCTCAATTTTTTAATTGTGTCTATTTGATCACTCTAAGGTTTTTAATCTCTATCTATATAGTCCACTCTCAAATATCCATAAAAAAATCGTTAATGATTTTGGTCTCGTGCCAATCACGTGAGACTAAATAAACACAAATTAGACACTTTAGGGACTAAATAGATACAAAATAAAAACTTTAATGACCAAATATACACAAAATTAGAAATCACGTGATTGACATATGATCAAAACCGTTAACGATTTTTTGACAGATGTTTAGGATTGAACCACTTTGATAGAAATTAGAAATTTCGGGGACCAAATAGACATAATTAAAAAATTTGGGATCAAATAGACATTAAATACATATTTTAAAGATTAAAATATAATTTATTGTAATTAATACAAACTTGTTAATATTAAATCCATACTCTATGAGTCCGTGTTTTGACGTCAATTTGGCAGGTGACAGCCAGTGGTTAGATCCATTTGAATATCCGCAGGATAGTTTGGAAGTTCCTTCAAATTTTGATGGTTTTGGGGGTTCAATATTCTTGAAAGTGACATTTCTGAAATGGAATCGTGATGTTAATGTAAGTTTGATTGTTCATGTTTGACTCTCTCCATGCCTCACTGACCTTTATTAAAATAATCAAAAATATTTTAAATTAGTGAGATAAATAACTATAATCCATGCATGAAATTTATCATGTCTCCACAAATTCACGACTTTTTTTTTTTGGGGGGAGGGAGACTTGAATTTTTGACCTTAAAAAGATAAAATCTTTGCAAAGTAAAGAGTAACATTAGACCAAAAACCCGTTAATACAAATTCCCAACTCTGACCCACAACACCTTTCTTGGAATGATAAAAACTCGCCATTGTCCCATATCCATTTTGTACTTATTTGATAAAAAGGTATGATGCGTATGATGTGTATGATTTTGTGCTTTGTCGTGGCTTCTCTTGAGTAAATACATTTTTTATTTTGTAAAATTATTAAATAATTTTTTTAAATGAATCAAAACAATACCTATTTGGTGTAGTAGAGCATATATTTAGTTATAATTTTAGATTATTTGGTGCTCAAGGGAGCATTATGTTATTTTTTAGATTTGAGGGATTCATGTGACAAACATTAAGGGTTTGGGTGTAATTTACCCTCTATATATATAGGGTAAATTAGCCTTTCTTACTCTCAACAGCACACCCACGTCTAAATAGATAACAAAAAATGTCAAGGCTGTATTGTTGTTCTTAAATTATGTACATTATCTGATGTATGTAGGCAGCAAAGACCATGGATCAAATAACATACACCGCTTCATGGATGGCCCATCAAAAATGGGGCCCTGCACGATTATATTAAACGAGGCTCACATATAATATAACATAATTATTAAAATATTAATATTATGTATCTAAAAATAATTTTTTGTTATTTTTTAGATACAAAAATGCAAATTCAGTTTTTTACATTGAATTTGTATAACATAATATAATTAAATATGCTATCAATTAAAAATATAGAGAAAGATGACTAAAATTTGTTAATGTAGCAAATTTTTTTTTCAAATAATTAATGTTAGTAGGATTTCAAATATTAAGTTACTCCTACTCACTATGTTTTTTAGCTACTTTGTGTGTGTTTATTATGTATCTTTTTTTACAGATGATGAAGATGACGGGAAGTCTTCTCTGTGTATACAGTGAATGGGTTTTGTCTGATGAAGAAGGGTAAAATAGTCGATTTTCAAAAAAATGACATCTTCCCTCCATTTTTCAATCTATTTTCCACCTAAAAATGGGGGGAAAAAATTTGGTGGACGCTAGGGATTCTCTTTCCCTTCCATTTTCCATTCTGTCCCATTTTTCTTCCAAACCAAACAATAGAAAGTGAAGCCTTCCCTCCCACTTTCCTTCCTCAATTTTTCATCCTCCTTATTTTCTAACCAAACAGGGGGGAAAAAAGAAAAAAAAACATCGAAATCGGTTCGATATGGTTCAATCTTCTTCAGAATCCCCAAATTCTCAGTAAAAAAGAAAAAAACAAAAGCAAAACAGAAAGGAAGAAGAAAACATGATATCCACATAAATCTTTAGTTCTACTGTGCATAAAAAACAAAAAATACCAAGAATAATTAGAAAAAAAATCAAAAATCATAGCCTTCTCAGATGTAGACAAAGCAATTCACAAGGCACGCCAAAGAAGTCTTCTTCCACTGCACAATCGGGGTAACCCACAGTAAAGGATGAGAGCCATCGATCGTAGTCTTCTCAGAAGTAGATGAAGCGATATAGATGAAGCCTCTCTCTCCGATGATCTTTTTCCATTCGTCCATCTCTCTCTCTCTCTCTCTCTCTCTCTTCTTGATGTAGGCAAAGCATCTTATTGATGATGAAGACGACGTGAAGTCTTCTGTGTGTATACAGTGAATTGGTTTTGTCTGATGAAGAAGAGTAAAATAGTCAATTCCCAAAAAATGCCATCTTCCCTCCATTTTTCAGTCCATTTTTCCCCCAAAAATTTGGGGGGGGGGGGGAGTTTGGTGGGCGCCAGGGATTCTCTTTTCCTTCCATTTTCCATTCCCTCCCATTTTCCTTCCAAACCAAACAATAGAAAGTGAAGCCTCCGCTCCCACTTTCCTTCCTCCATTTTTCATCCTCCCTATTTTTCCTCCAACTAAACAGGGGGTTAACAAAATTAACAGAGGAGGTTGTACTTTTACTTTTTTGCCCATACAAGTTTCATTTATCTACTAAAATAAAAAAATAAATATGTAGTAATATATATAATCATAAGAAAGAAAGATGTTACCCATCCTTTATCGCTCCTTACCCCCACCACCCACCTCAGTCATTGCCTCCCCTAACCACCCACATCTTCCCCATGATCATCGACCCACCTTCATTTCCAACCTTGTGGCTACCCCACCCACNTCCCCTAACCACCCACATCTTCCCCATGATCATCGACCCACCTTCATTTCCAACCTTGTGGCTACCCCACCCACCTATTCAACAATCCACACCTAGCCTTATCCACAACCATCCATGGGTGATCTTGGAAAAACAACTGAGAAATGTAGTAGAAGGAAGAAGAGAAGAAAAGGAGCAGGGGAGAGAGATGACTTATTTCATTCAACTAAATTTCTCAATTATAAGGTGTGACGCAAGGATCCCAACCTCCAACCCTCTTTTGCATTGCCAAATTAAGAGAAAGAGAGAGACACAAGAGAGAGAGAGACTCAGCACATAATCCATCTTCCTTCACCAAAATTCCTTTTCTTGGCGTCTACCTTCTCCATCAGGCTTGAACCTGCTCTTGCACTCGACCCCTGCATCNATAATCCATCTTCCTTCACCAAAATTCCTTTTCTTGGCGTCTACCTTCTCCATCAGGCTTGAACCTGCTCTTGCACTCGACCCCTGCATCGCCGCCACATTATTTCCCTATGTCAAAAAGAGTGATGGGTATGAAAGTTGGGTTTGGTGCTTCAGCTCAACTGCCTGTGGAGTCTATGGAATGGGTACACAAACGCAAATCAATATCTTTTCATCCTCACATATTCAAAATTGCAATCTATAATTTCTTTGGCCCCAAATTTTAATATTTCATCTTATATCGAAAACTATAATTTTGGAATTGAAGTTGTGATGAATTTGAATTTTTGGGATGAAATTGTGGTGGTGATGTTTGTGGTCAAAGAGGTGTTAGGTGTAACTATGACGCCCCAAAATTCGGGGTCCTAATTATCCGTTAAACCTTATTCATTAATGTAAGGCCTTAGTCCTAGTGGACCAATTTCAACAGAATTTCGACAGAGTTTCTTTTACACAGAAAGCTCCTCTCAAAACACAACCTGTCTCAATTGCATTTACGATGACCTTCCAAGTTTAATGTAAACATTTAAGCACACCAAATGTACAAATGTNTGCTGAATCATCTTATGTGTATTCGACCTCATATTCGAATTATCCTTATGGGAATGGGGGATTTTTTGGGCTCCCGCCGCCTCAGGATCCTTATGAGAATCGGCAGCCACGTCCTCCACCTGGTCCTCCTCCGCCTCCGTCACCAAAGGTCTCCAGTTGGGACTTTTTGAATCCGTTTGATGCGTTTGATACTGGGTACACTGGTTATTATTCGCAGGGGACATATGGGTATGGGTCGATTGCTAGTAGTCCAGATTCGAATGAAGTGAGAGAAAGGGAGGGTATTCCTGATTTGGAAGAAGAAACAGAGATCAGGGCCTATGGGGACATTTACAAGGGGAAGAAGGTGAATGAAGATGTTAAGAAAAGTTCAGGTGAGAGAGCAAGAGCTGTGCCACCACAAAATAGTGACGGCAGTTCAAGGGCAGTACCATCTCAGCCAAGTGAGGGCAATTCAAGGCCAGGACCACCACAAAATAGTGAGTCCACACAATCAGTTGATGTGAATGAAGAAAAGAGCAGTCCTGATACAATTGTATCAATGAGCACGGAAGATGGCATAGCAAGGAAGAAGCGGGTAAGTTTTGAGGTAGAGGAGGCATCGATGAATGATGCTGAATCCTCAAAGTTTAGTAGTTTAACCATATTGTCCACTCCTGGAACTCGGGATCTTCAGGGGGTTGTTAGTGAAATCAGGGATGAATTTGAGATTGCCTCTAGTCATGGGAAGGAGGTTGCACTGATGCTTGAGGTTGGCAAGCTGCCTTATCAGCCTGGGTTCGCAAAAGGTATTATTTTAACTATTGCTATGCTTATGCATTGCTAAACATTACTGAATTGTTGTTTGAAATGCTTCTTAGTCGTGTCTAGTTACAAGTACCTGTAATGATGATGTTGAATCATTGCTATCATTGTCTCAATATAGGTTGGGACTTGATATTTGCAAATTATCAATAAATGCGATTTCATTTGGGAATATTGGTCCTTTATGGAGGTTGTTTGAAAAGTAAGCGTATGATCAACCTAATAACCATTGCCTAGATATTTTTGTGATTGTGAATGAGATGAAAAACATCTACAATCGTCAAGTCTAATTAGCTGATATGTGGACAAAGCTATGATAAAAATGAAAATTTACAAGTTCTGAGAGGAATCAATCTCTTTGGAGTAAGTTTATTTTTTTGCCATGTAATTTTTCGCTTGTTGGGTTTTAGAAGCATTCGAAACATGCTTTATAACTGTGTTCCTAAACTGCTGCCCCACATGTGACTTCATTCTACCAGTTAATACATCTGCAGTGCTTTTGGAATGTATGGGTTCGTGTCTAGATGGTTGATGGTCATTACAGATTTTCCTAGACAAAGCTTTTGCACTCTAAATGAAGCTGTTTTTGTTTCTTATTGTCCTCCCCTTCCCTGGCACACAAAGTATATTAATAATAGATATGTATAATGGCTGTTCAAGGAGGGAAAAAAAAA